TGCGTGTGCGGGTCCCCACCAGGCTGTTAGCTGTGGCCTTGGGCTCTCGAGGCTTGTCTTCCATCCCCCAGCTTGGCAGGGGTAGGGCTGAAAGAGGGATGGAGGCAGGCGTGAGGCAGGGAGGTGTGGGTGCCCATGGGAGGTGATGGGACGCCTCACCCGGCGGTGGGAGCAGATCCGGTCCTAACTGTGTGCCTGTCGGTGTCCCCAGGGGCTTGGGGCTGGCATGGGGCTTGGCATGTCCAGCCCAGCACAAGCGCTGCTCCTCTCTTGGGGCAGTGTGGGTGGCATGTCCTGTCCCCACTGGCCACCAGCCTACCTGGCCTGGGGCTGGCTGGCCCTTGGTGGCTCTCTCAGGGTCCCTGGCTGGCAGGGTGACCCAAACCGGCGTCTTCTCCACTCAGCCACCAGTACTGTGCAGTCCAGAGCAATATTGCTGTACTGCAGCACCATCTAGTGCTGTGGGATGGGGAAGCCCAGTGCTCCCTCCCTGCTCCTCCCCCCCCCGCCCCGAGACCTGTGATGGGGATGACTGGGTGGCACAGCGTGTCTGCTGGCCTGGGGCAGCCAGAACCACTGCCCCACCGCCCCTGCTCTGTGCCAGGGAATTTCCTGCAAGAATTCTGGGAAGCGTCGAGGGTGCAGATGTTCCCAGTTCCTGAGCCAAATGTATCTGGCCTCAGGTGCTGGTTTTGCCACCTCCTCCCATGGAAATCAGACCTCCGCACTCTCACCTGACTACTTTTTCTTCTCTATCAGCCAGATGACCCTGGCTCCTTAACTCCCTTGCCATCAGGGTCTTCACATCGCTCCCACAGCTTCCTCCTTCATCCTGGTGATTTCCTGGCATCTGTCTTCTGCAGCATGAGTGTGATCCCTTCCCACAACTTGTTGCTGTTCCCCTTTTGCATGCCCAAGGCAACACTGGCCCTTTCCAGCCCGGCTTTTTGGACACTTGTGAGAGCTTTCCGCAGCACCCCCCTGCCATCCACTCTTCCCCTTGCTCCATGTCCCCTCTCAGCTCATTGTCCCTCCTGGGTGCTTGCCATGCTCCCCACCCCGGGGACTGGGAGAGCAGGCAGGATTTTGGCATGGCGAGGGTGGTGCAGGCAGGATTTTGGCACAGAGCTTGATCTCATAGGAACAGGATGCCTTGCTGGCCCCACTCCCCTCCCACCAGTGGGGAAAGCCACCACGGATGTGGATGCCACACGTGCAGCAGGGTGAGGTGGATGCTGAGCCCCAACAGGGATTGCACCCAGGCCCCATGGCACTGAGGGGGCTGGTGGCTGGTGGCTCCCTGGGGCAGGAAGAATTGGGCACCTTGGACTGAAAAGGGGCTATTTGGGTCCTGCCTCTGCCCCAGCTGCCCTCCCGTCTTTGGGGACGGATGGGACTACACCAAAGTCACCGGGCAGCACCAAGGTCCCTGTCCCCAAGCAGCTTGACGCCCGGCTTGGGCTCTGCCCGCTGCCACGCACTGCCTGCGCCCGCAGGAAGGTAAGAGTAGCAAAGCAGGCACCGAACGTAACGTGGCCCTGGGCTGTTTGTGCGCCTTTTGTTCGCCGGTAACCTTCACAAATCGGCTAATTAACCGCATTAGGACGGCTCTGCTTCCCTGCCTGAGCGTTATTGGGCAGGGCAGATCTGGGGCAGCGTGCCAGCGGGAGCCCCAATTGGCTTTGCTGGGCGGTTGGGCAGCTGAGAGCTCCTGTGGTGCCCAGGGAAGGCTCCCAGGCAGCAGCCGGGGTCGATAACACCCAGTGGGGTGCTGGCGATGGGCAGTGAGGGCGAGGGAGCCCGGCGCTCGCTGGGTGGGGGGAAGGAGCTGGCCCTGTCCCCCAGCTCTCCCATTGCAGCATGGAGGTGAGAGCCTGATGCACCCAGGGTTACGTTCCTGCTTCACAGCCAGCCCCAAGCCCCATCAGTGGGTGTTTTTCATTGCCATAAGCCATGCCTGGGCCTCAGGGAGCCTCTACTGCAGAGCGCGTGGGTGCGATGGACCCCTAAAACCAAGCAGAGAGCTCCCCTAAAGCCAAAAGCGTGTTGCGCATCACCCTTTTCCTGTACTGCCTTGCTGCTTTTACCCAGCAGCTCTGCGACACCCTGGATTGGAGGGCTCCCAGAGAAAGACACAGCCATTAGGGCGGTGAGGATGAAGTTTTCTTTTTACAAGCTTCATCCCAAATCTCTCTGTGCCTGCTTCTCCCTCCCTCCTTCCTCCGCTTTCCCATGTGGCCTCTACCCACGTGTCCGGGTTCTGCAGGGCCGCCCTGCCCTCGCTGCCAGGTTTCTGCAGGCTTCCAGGGCGGCTCGCAGCCCTCCCGACGTGCGGCGAGCCCTGTGTGGCAGCCGACCGGCTGGTGGGGAGCAGCCTCCCAAGCACGTTCCCTGCCCCGAGGCTCTTGCAGAAACAAATGGCCTCTGCGTGCCGGCGGCGTAGAACCCGTTGTGCCCTGCCACAGGAGCTGCCCAGGCCAGAACACCCCAGCTGTGAACAATGAGCCGGGGGAAGCCGGGGCTGTCGCCTGGGATTCACCCATGGTGGCTGGGGCTGCTGAATCCGGCCGGTTCCCTCTCCCAGGCACCGCTTGGCAGCAGCTCCAGATGAGCTGGGGTTTTTGTGAGCAGCCAGGCTCCGGGAAGGGCCCTGCGTGGCGAGAGGCTCCTCGCCTGGCCCAGCCAGGTCCCACCCCCCAAAATTGCCTGTCTTGCCACCATGGAGCCCTCCCCTTGTGCAGAGCCTGGTGTGTAGACCAGGATGGGGGGGGGGTTCCCTACCCCGGTGATGCCTGCCAGGGCTGTGAGTTTCCAGGTGGGAACTATTTTGGTAAATAAAAGGGGAAATCACTGCATTGGTCCCTGCTCCTGCTGCTCTTCCCACCCAATTTTGCGCAGATGATGGTGTGGGGCTGCCCTTGGCCAGGGCCAGAACCCCCCCGGGCACGTGGATGGGTGGTGGCAGAGGTGACGCACACACCCCAGACCCCCTGCTCGCTCTTGCCCTTTCCAGCCCCGCTTTTCCCTTTGCTGCCCCAGTGCCAGCAGCCACACTTGGGCCCTGGGGACGGGATTGCTGAGGGCAGCGTGCTGGCAGCCCCTCCTGCCCCTTCTCCCAGAGCTCCCAAATCCCTGTCAGTCCCCCGGGGAGGGGACCTGCAGCTCCTCCTGCCCACGCCAAGCACGGGCTCCTGCTCCGAGCACCTGGGGGCCCTTCGCCTGCATTTTGGGTGGTGTAGGGTCAGACCACGCTGTTCCCCCTGCCCTATAGGGGCCTTTCTGCCGCCTGGATCGGGCCCCTGCTCTGCCCCTGTGTTTGCCGTATCGGCTCTTTAGGAGAGGCTGGGCCCCGCACTGGGGGATGCTGGGGGGCACTGGGGGAGGCTGGTCCGGGC